AGGTCGTGTGAAAGGCTGTTCAAATATTTTCATGCGACTTGATTTGCTTAAAAGCGTATCAAAATGAAGATCAAGTAGCATTTCAGCATCTCACACAGAACCGCGTCCATTCGTGTCCAAGTCCATCTAAGTCCCTCAAACTAGATGCTTTGTGCTGTTGATTGGGTCGAGTTGGGGGCTCAGAATTCCAAGCAGGAAATGATTAATGTTTTCTGTGTAATGCGACAACAATGCTGAGGTTTTTACTTTTTGAAAATTGTGTCTAATAACATAAACAATTGATGAAAAACACGAAGCTGGCGATTTTCTTGTTTTCAGCAGCTTAACCAAAGGAAATGATGTAAGCGAGTTGTGAGAGGAAGAGCTTTGCCTTGTAGGAGAGAAGAAGAGAATCGATTTGAAGGAATATTTGGTAAAAATATAGTTTTAGTCGTGTATACAAGTTTTAACTTAGTAGATGCGATTAAGAACTGACAAAAGAAGTTATCGATTAACTTATCGGTGCCTTTAATAGCTTTTACAACTCTTTGAAGTCACAACGAAATATAGTTGCATAGAGTCTCACAAACAGTTAGAGCTATAACAAAAAGATGCCCAGAATACATTTTTCATTTCTGGCTAACAAATTTGTTGACACTTTGCAGGAGTCATTGGGCATTGCATGTCAATGACCATTCAATAACTGCCACAAAAATAGTTTTCAATGCTCAAGTGCAATAGACATTTATTTCTATTTTTATGCCAGTGTCAGTGCGTTATCCATCATTAGACTCAATTTGTTGGCTACGCCTTAAAGATGACGCGGCAAGAATCTGGCTTTTGGTTCGATTCTAACAGCATGACCAACAACAAAGTAAACTATAGGAGCTGGGGCTAAAGGGTACCTCGACTGCAAAATGCATTCATTATAAAATATTACAAAACAAAAAAAAAAAAAAAACTGTCAACAAGTTGGAGGGAGAGAGAGAACCAGCAACACATACAATTCCCAGAGACAGTAGCCGGGTAAACACAAACAAGTACCAGAAAAACACACACGATTGCAGTTCAATCAACTCTGTTGAAACAAAACTAGAACCCAAACCGAAACCCAAACCGATATCCAGAAGGGTCAAGCTGCGGCACGTTGCCGACTGTCGGCCATAAACGTTGCTCTAAAACTGTCAAAATGCTGGCCCAGACGTCCTGCCAAACGTCTGGCAAATGTCAAACGTTAGTTTTGTAATTAGCTGCTTACTTGTGACAGGGCATGGCGGCATGCAGCAAGAGTCGCCGCTGCTGCTGGCTCAGAGTCGCCACCGCTGACAATTTGCAACTGTCATTGTGACATTTGGCGGCAAGTCGCAATGTTGCAAGCGTTGCCGGGGTTAATGACAACGTCGCCACATCTCGCCAACATCTTGCAACATATGACAGCTTAAAACACACTCGTAAGTTCATTTTTCTTATTGATCGTTTTCACAATTCCTGCCTGTATGTCAGTGTGTGTGTGTGTGTGTGTGTGTGTGTGTGCCACTCGCTTGGTAGCCTTGAAGTTGCGCAAATGCGCGCCCACAATTCGCATTTGCGGCCAGCAAAAATGTCAATGAAATTCGCCAGATCTACTAAGTGCCGCACATTAAACTATTTATAGCTATGTCATATCGGGGCCTATACGATCTGTCAGACTTTGAGAGCTGCTCTAATACAGACATAAATTGCGCTACTTGTGGAACACTTGTGAATACAATTGAATAATTTACTGAGCTCAAAAGCAATGCGAAACATTTTTGAAATAATATCATAAAACACTAAAATGCCTCACAGTTGCTCAATTTGGGAATGAAAATTGGGATAATAAAAAATACTCCTCACAATCAATAAGAAAATACTGGGAAATTTGTATAAATCCTAAAAGATATTCTAAGCTTGAAAAAAAAACAGAAATAACAGCTGCGCTTATTGAACTCCTTGTCTACTGTAATACAGGGAAAATACTGGGAAATTTATATAAATCCCATAAAATATTCAATGCTTGAAGAACAGAAGCAAAATCTTAAGCACAGTATTTAAATGATCTGCGCTTATTGAACTCCTTGTCTAGTGTCTTACTCGGAAAATACAGGGAAATTTATGTAAATTCCATAAAATATTCTATGCTTAAAAAAAAAAGAAATGACAGGATTTTTATGAGCTGCGCTTATTGAACTCCTTGCCTATAAGTATTTGAGTGATTTTATGGGAATAGTTAGTTAAATTAATTTGTAATTTTTTAGTAAACAGTGAACAATTATGTAAACTTGTAAAATTCAACAGTTAAGTGTTGTAAAGCAATAGTAGAAAACGTATATATGTATTTTTTTGTAAATTGGGCACTCTTAGAAAAAAAAGAAGAGAACACGAGATGATGCAGACTCAAAAATCGAATAAAGAAAACGAGAAAGTAAAATTAAAGATTTTTTCGACTGTGCAATATTGACTATAGTTTCTATTGATAAAGTGAGCTACATTTTTTTTTGGCAATATCTTTTCTTTTTCTCTGAGAGGACAATTTTGTAACAGATCACAAATATGGCACTGACTTGACTTGATATTGTGCTGTTCTTGCATCTTTTTCTAAAAAGTTAATTGCAAACATGCGTTGGAAAATTCTTGTGTGTTTGCGTTTCTTTAATCAACTTTTCCACTTTTCACTTCCCATTCAAATTAACACATTCACCCCAGTTTGTGCTGCACAAATCACACTCGCGCTAATCAACAGCAATTAAAATCAATTAAAACTAGTCGCAGACAGACAATTCTTCTGTCTGTCTGTTTTTTTTTGCAGACTGAGCTGCCAGCCCTTTTAATGCTAAACTGCATTTGCTGAGTTTTGCAGTTCCGACCCGCTTACTTTGGAACGCCCTGTTGCAGTTGGAGCTGTCAAATCAGCGCCTGGCCCGTTGACATTTCTATTATGTCAGTCAGTGAGTCAATTGCGCGAACTGAATAAACTGAAGTGCAGCCCGCGGAGATTTGTTGGCTCTTTGTGGCGGAATTAAAAATTCTAAGCACTCGCACACACGCACACACACGCATACAGTGTCCGTCAAATGTTAATGACCAGCGTTGAGGCTCGTCTTGGGGCACGTCTAAAAATAAAGCAAAAAAAAAAAACCTTTGCAAGCGCCACGACTGGGCAAACTGAGGCGTCTGCATGGCGAATCAGGCACAGATTAAACGCAGCTTCAGTGCGCAGCGAGGCTGGGCGAATGGTTGGTGGGGCTAGGCGTGGCCTGGGCAGCGGAAAGGTAGCGTATCAAACGGCTGGCATCTCTGCAACTGAATTTGACTTTAATGCGCGGTAATTATGAAAAGTAAACTTGACCAGGCACAAAGGAAAATCGCTTCTGGTCTTGGTAGGCTCCCACTTAGATTAGTTGCGGTTTGTGAAGCTTCAACTGAAGGTCGAACACGATGGGCGATGGACAATGGATCGACTACTCTCGTGGCTGTTTGTGTGGTTACTTTTTAACTCTTTTCCAATATTGTTTTGGAATGCCCGCTCTCCGCTTCCCGCTGCCCTGCTCCCTTTGCCGAACTGTTCATATGCTAGCCATATATAATTCAGTGCGTCAGTTCTCTGACAGCTTCATGCAATGGGTTGGCAGCACGTTCCAAGCTGGAGACTGGTGTGACTTTTGGGTGTTTTGTGCCCGCGACGCGTTTTTCTGACAGCCCAAAGGCAGCGGGCTGGGGCGAAGCTGCAGAGGGGGCTGTTGCCGCTTTTTGCATAAATGCATAAAAATTGTTTGCCATTGTTTGCAGTTGCCCCAACACGCGTTATTTGTTTTTCTTTCTTTTTTTCCCCCCACTTTTTTTTTTTGGGGTGCTGCCTGCAGTCGAGCTGTCAAAATATTGAGCTGTCTGCGGATTTTGGTCAACAGATTGGACTGACAGTTCAGTTGTATATATGTGTGTGTGTACACAAATATTTTCAATTGTAGACAGGACTTAAATTGAAAAAAACTAGATATAGACAGTGTGTACCAATGTGCTCGAATGCTTTTGGTATGCACAAAATTCATGCGCCAGAAATTTTCTATATATAGTGGAAACAACCTTAAACTAACATCATGCATATAAATTCAAATAATATTATTATATGGGATATAGAAACATACTGTATAAAAGGATAAACTATTTTATTGTTCGAGTGCATTTAAATGCATAGAACACTTGGTTATATCAGTTATTTGTTTTTCTCACAACATTTCAAATCACGGCAAACAAGAAGATTCAATCCCAAAAAGGTTTCAAAGTGCATACAGAGCCGCACATTCAAATAACAACAGCAAGAACAACAACAATGAGTGCGGCACTCGATTCTAACTGCGTTGGGCACATTGCGCAAACATTTGAGGCAACCCAAACAGAATCAGAGTCCAAACTCTATGCAAATATTTGACTCAGGTCCGGAGTTCGAAGTCAAGCCATCGGCAATTTGGTCTATTGGAAAATGTTATCAGCTGTTGTTTGCACAGTTTGCACGAGAGGAATATACACATATATATATATATATATATTGTTACATAATCTGTGAAGTTTTGATGCCGGATAACTGCATTTCTGAGCCAAACTTCAAAGCGTTTGCCGGCATAGTTTGGCGTTATCTTGCAACACTTTGTTCCATTTGTTGTCAGCCGCTTTATATAGAGAGGCATATGATGTATTAGTTACCCTCCTGCCCCGCTAACCACACCCACACACTGGCCAGTTAAAGTGTATTGGGTGTAAGGGAATAAAAATGGGAACAACAGCTTTTATGACTTCCATCCGAAATGTGGCCACACTCTTTGTGTGCTCTTTATTCCTACATATCTTTCTCTCCTATCCGTTTTTATGGCTCATTTCCCACTTTTTCTACTCTTTCGGTCTTCTAGCAATGACATTTTAATTGCTTTATTGCATATTTTTTGTTTTTTTTTTTTTTTGGTATTTTTTCCCTTTGCGTTTATTGTCGTGTGCCGCCGCCTTACGTTGCGTGTTACGTCACTTGCGTAATTGCAGTTATTTCCCTCTCTCTATCTCTCTCTCTGTCCTGCTCCCACTTTTATTTGTATTTCGCTTGGTCTTCGTCCAATAACAAAATCTCGGAACTCCAAATTAAACGAGGTCAACATTGTTATGGGCCATGTTTTGTGTCGTGGTTGTTGTTGTTGTTGTCGCTTGTCGTTGTTGCAGTCAATTTGAAATTATCGGTCAACTTTTTGTCTGCCGTCTGTCAAAAATTAATCAGATAAATATGTCACACGACAATCTCGAAATTAAAAAAAACACCTACGCAGAAAAGGTCAAACTTGTTTATGTGTCTACACAACATGAACAACAACAACAACGGCAACAACAACAACTAGCTACAATAACATTAATTGGGTAATGGAAAATTTAATAACTTACGCAGTTTATTGCCAAAAACATGTAAGTTCTTGTTTCTCAATCAAATTTTCATTCTTATCTAAGCACAATTTGAATTTGACATTGATTGTTTGTTTTTTTTTTTTTTAATTATGTGCTAAACAAATTTTGGTTTCGTTTATTTTTCGGGTCTGACAATGAAAATTCCACAAATATTTGTGAATTCAGTGAAAATTTGTTGAAAATTCCCATGCGCGAATGGGAATTACTTTAACAGTTAACACGAAACACGCAACGCGGACTTGTAACTGAGATTCTGCAGCAGAGACGTTGACGCCGACGTCCGATTGCACGGAAATGAAAATGTGCACTGGACTATTTGGGCACGAAAGCCGCAAGCGCAGCAGAACCGGCAAAGGCAGCGACAGCAGCAGCAGCAGCAGCAGCAGCAGCATCATCATCATCAACGACCGCCCTACCTACAGCGGCGGCAAACGCAACAGAGACAGCTTGAGCTTCGGTGGGACCAGCGGCACAGACGTCAGCTGCTCTAGCGACAGCACTGCTAAAGATCGCAGTGCGAGATCGCATTGAGTTGCAGGTAAACAAAGCTGATGGCAGAGAGAGAGAGAGAGAGAGAGAAGAGCAAGAGAGTGTGCGCGTGGTCTGTGTGTAAGCCGGTGTGCCGGCTCAACATGCTGGAAGAGCGCACGAGCCAAATGTTGCGAAGCAGCAAGTTTAGCAACATGTTGACAAGTAATGTTGCCAACAGCGCGCAACTCGTTGAAGCTCCAGTTTAAAGACCAAACTTAAGGCTAATTATTTAAATGTAATAAAATATATGAAGTATATTCCAGAGTGTTTAGTATGTAAATTGCTTGCACTTAAATGAACCGTTAACTTGCTTATGTGACAGTCAAGGTCTGCTAACTTTTTCAATAATTATGCTGCAGTTGCTCAATAGCTGCGCTCTGAACTTCCGGCACACAGAACAGAAATTCCAAGCAAACATTTCCCACATTAAGAACCAGGCTAATAATCACACAAAAATGAACCAACTTTTATAATGATGACGCTGCGCGGCAACCCGCTGCTAGCGACTGTCTCTGCTAATGAGAGCAGACCAGCAGCTCACACCTCACACACACACACACACACACACACGGCACACCTTGCAAGTTGGTCCGGAAGCCTGAGAAACTTTTGAATTGTTTCATAAAATGCACAAAGTTGCAGTTAATTGTGTCAGGCCAGATGACAGGCCTCAAGAATATGTGGAGCCCAAAATGAAGCCATTTTGTAGACAGTCTTTCGTTTCCATTTCATCTGTCTCTCCCTGCTTCCCTCTCTCTCTCTCTCTGTCTCGCTCTCTGTCTTGCAGCAGCTGGCATCAGGTTATATGCTAATGCCAACAAGGATCTTGAATCGCATCGCATATAATTTATGCTTGCTTATTGGCAGCTGTTGCTGTTGCAGATTTGCATAAATTTCATATGCAACATGTGGTGGCCGAAGACGGAGGCCGCTTGCCGCATGCCGCATGAAGTCTACTTGCCACAGTTTTCGAGTGGGCGATGTCTTTGACATTGGCATAAAGCATCGCCAATGTTGAACTTCAAAAGCAGCTCGCTCGAAATAGACATCAATGTTCAGGAAGCCGGACAACAAATACAACAACAACAAAAAAAACATATCACGGTGAAATTTCTACAGCACGACCTCGTTTCGTATATCAGCAAAGAAGGTATCCAAAAAAAAAAAATAAATATGAAAAATATGTTTGGCAACGGGTCGAACGTCGTCGATTGGAGATCGTTGATCAGTGATTGGCGATCGATTATGATCAGCAGTTCGATTTTAATGAGTTCGCGCGCCAAAAGTATCGAAAACACAAACAGGCAGACAGAACGGACGGACGGGCGCACAGACTGAGCAACGGGCAGACGGACACGTTAAGCAGGTCACTTTTTTGTGGCATGAGAAAGGCAACAAATGAAAGTAAAAGACAACAACAAGATGCACCCTGCCCCCGGCCCCCCTACTCCCTGCCACCATGCGGCAGACAGCAACAGGATGAGAGTAGTCTCCAATATATCGCGCCGGCGTCGTCGTCATCATCATCGTCATCTCTGACCCAATTTCGCTTTTTAATGGGGTGCCAAAGGCCGCTTCAAGTCGGTATGTGCCAAAAAGATTGGCGAGCCAGCGATCGATCTTTTCATCTCGATCGAACGCGCTTCTGATTTCTTCTTCTTCGTCATCATTTTTTTTTTTTTTTCCTGATCATTGCAATCGATCTTTATTACTCTCAGACGCGTTAGTTCTTGTTCTCTGCCCCTCTAAAGCTAGCTCAATTTTCACGCTCAATTAATGTTTATGACAAGTGATTGTGTCGCGGCGATAACTCAACTTGGACTGAAGCTATATATATCCGCATCCCCAACCCCCAAACCCCTCAAGCAACGATCGAGCAGACAGAATCCGATTTGAATTTGCCTGCCTGAGAATGTTGCAAACAGCTTGCCTGGTTGCACATAGAAAGTTGCCGATTTGCGAGTGGATTCGATTTGAATTTATGTTGCCCGCTGCCCGTTTGACATGTGAAAATCAAAGCTTGATTGATGTTATGACTGCGCCAACGGAATCGCATTCAAAATCATTCGCAGAACTGCATTAGACACAGACGGGTGCACGGGTGCACTTGAGTGGCAAAAGGAGCGTGGGAAGGGGAAGGGGAAGGGGAACGGTTACGGTGTGAAATGCAACCGAATTGGCGTTGCATCCGACTAGGCGTCGTGTGTGTGTGAGTGTGTGTGTGTGTTTGATATGCATTTGGGTTGGCGACAAGCCGGCGATTGGCTTTGTTTATGGCATTTGAGAGGGAAGACTCTAATACTGAAGAGTTTTTGCTTAAGCCTCTTTTAGAGCTTAAAGTGCATCCCCTTCTCTCGCTCTATCTGTGTCTGCCTCTCTCTCTATCTCGATGCCTATCTCTATATCCATCTTCAGCTCCATCTCCATCTCCATATCCATCTGTATCTCTTTCCCTATCTTTATTTTTCTATCTCTATCTCAATATCTATATCTATCTTTATCCCTATATCTATATTTCACTCTTTCTCTCTCTAGCTTCTTCTCTCTCTCTCTCTCTTAGTGCCTCCATCTTTCAACTTTGGAAAACACAATCTTAATGCTTCTTAAGCACTTTTGAAATTAGTTTCTTTTCTCTACTAATCTTAACTCCACCAAAATATTTTCTTTATCTAATTTAACTTGAATCTAAACTCTTAAATAGAATTCGCAATTTGCATGAGCTAATTTCTAATGCAATTTATCTAATTTATCTATCCAGCTGCTTTACCCTGTCTCTCTCATTTCGGAAAATAGTTTCTCTTTTCGCACAAGCTATATTCACAAAAAAAAAAAAAAAAAATATTTTCTTTATCTAAATTAACTCGTATCCGCACTTTCAATTTAAAATTGTAATTTGCATGAGCTAATTTCGACAGCAACTTTTTATCCATTGAGCTGCCCGTCTCACCTGTCTAATTCAGCTGGGCAACAGTTCGCTTGTTCTTTAAACTGTGTACCCAGCGCTGCGCAGCGAGACACGTGGCATATCCTCGCGCAGCTTCCAATTACAAAGCTGCCTTTGAGATATCTGGCAGTAAAACCAATTTGGCAACGTACCCGATCCAATCAGCTGCGAGTGTTGGCTGCAATCCCTAAATGGTCGCGCATCGTTCAGCTTGGCGTTTGCTGTTGCTGCCCCGCTTTGCCCCTTGGAGGCACCGTAGCCAACGCACTGCATCAACAGCTGGCCCAAAATAAGCAGCTAGCCAGCACAGCTTGAGCCAACATTCATTTGCGCCCCGCTCTCAGCAGCTGCCCATCTATGTTGTTTTCACCGTTTGGTGTTTGACCGCAACGGCAGCGTCCCAAGCTTTGGAATTTGAATTGAGAGATTAAAACGCAGTGAAAAACTCATGCCCCCAGCCGCAGCACCGCGCAGCTGCCTCCACAAACGCCACTTAAGCAGTCGCCCACACACGCGCTCGCGCTGTCCGCAGGAAGTGTCGGGAAGGGTATGCGGTTGCGGGTTGGTTCTACGGCGTGTGGCATTTGCAACAGTTGCAGTTGCAGTTGTAACAACAGCAGCAGCAGCAGCAGCAGCTACTCTTGCAGGCCGTGTCATGACATGAACACAGCGCCAAGTGAAAGCAGGTTAAATGCAAATAAATTGTATACGAAATATGCGAAATCCCAAAAATACGAACAGCTTGTGCCTTTTTTTTTTTTTTTTTTGTAACCGAAAATGTGCCTCCATAAGGTATTCGCGTGCTTTAAATGTGGTCTTTAATTTGATTACTCTTGATTGTGATGATTATGCGGGTAATTTGTTTATAGCTATTGATTATTTTTTTTTTCTTACATTTTTTAACTGACAAGGTAGAAAGTGGAATTTATGGTATTTGCATTATTTGGAAGTTGTTTTCCATATTTATATGAAAGCTTAAGATATGGCTTATATTTAAATCTATATTGAATGTAGATTAAATTCTTAAAAATGTTTTATTTGCTGGAGTCCATTTGTTCTAAAAAATATATAACTATTTAAAGTATATTTATTTACCTAGGACATTTCTCTATTTCTATATTCTTAAGGGTTGCGCTCTTTTATGACAGGCGCTGGAATTGTCGTTGCCATTCACCTGGCAAGTGTAACAAATTGAAAAGGTTGTGTGTGAATGAACAGCAGGTGTGTTGACTACCTGATGAAGCTGGTGAAAACCGCGCCCGAATTCCGCGCGGGTTACCCTTGGCAAACACACACACACCCCAGGAACCACTTAGGTGATGTCGCGACGTGCTAATGAGTTTTTTCTTTTTTTTTGGCAAAGGTAAACGCACCACATGCTTGGGTAAGGTATTCGAATTCGGACATGAATGAATGTGAAAGTGTTTGAAGATTTATGAGATGAGGCAACACCCAGGCTCAGTTGCAATTAGCTCACGGGAAAGTGAAATGTTCTCAACGAAGTGCGGACAAGTAGGTAGACTCGATGATGCGCTCGCAAAGGCGGGCATAAAAAGTATAGCAGAAGATAAATGGCAAAGACAGGACAGAGTAAAGGAGAGGCGAGGCGAGGCGAGATGAATTAAAAAACATAAATAAATAAATAAAATAAAACACTTTAACGCTTGGGCCACATAAATCACAATGGGACATCATGTTCGGGTCCTGTGTACATGTCGGCCGGTCAGAGTCAGTCGGGCAGTTGGCCAACTGTCAAAACAGCAGTGGCCAAAATGTGAGTAACGGCTAAATAATAATGTTGCCAAAAACGAACGCAAAACTGGCCCAGTCCCAATGCACTGGTAACTGAGACTGCTCTTGGCATTGGGCTAAGAAGGTAAACGCCACAAATGAACGCTCATTTATCATATGAGGCGAGGAACCTTTCCCTCGGTTCGTGTTGAGCAGCAGTGCGACAAGCCTTTGCAGCTGGCCGCTGCGAAAACAAAATTGGGGTCAGGCACACAGGAAGCCCGTCAAGTGTCGCCAGTGTCCAGTGTAGGAATCGACGCCGCCGCCGCCGCCGCCGCCGCCTCAAACTGAAGCAACTCTCTTTCTGCCAAATGGCTCAATGAACTGTAATTTGAGCGCTCGGTAATTTGCCGAATGCGAATGCTTATGGCCCGAGGTGTTTGCCACAATGCAACAAAACGAATTGGGAGGCACAAATATACAACAACAACAACAACAACTACAAAAAAACAGAATGTGCAACGCAACAACGCGTCCAATACTTAATTCATTGACCAAATTGGCCAGCAGAAGCGCAAAGGGAAGAAGCCAACAGGAAGTTTTCC